ATATATATATAAGCTAGCCAAACAACGTGATAGGAGTAGTAAAGATTTAGTTCAAGTGAAGTGCATTAAAGATGAAGATCAAAAAGTATTTTTTTTATAAAAGGATATTCAATAAAAGTGGAAGAGATATTTTGCTAAGCTTTTCAATGAAAATTGTGAAAATACAATTGAAGATAGTGACCTTAGCACTATAAATGAAAATAGATATTTTTATTTTTATCGGCATATTACTAAAACTAAAGTTAGAGAGGCTTTAAAGAAAATAAAGTGTGAGAACATTGTTGGACCTGATCATATTCTAATAGAGGTGTGCAAATACTTAGGAGAAGAAGGAATTTCTTAGCTTACTAAATTTTTTAATATTATTTTGAAAACAAAAGATATCAAATGGGTGGAGAATGAGTGCGTTGATTCCTATTTTAAGAATATTGTGCAAATTATAAAGGAATTAAGTTGATGTTTCATACTTTAAAACTATAAGAGAGAGTTATGGAGCATATATTACGACGTGATACTAATGTTACTCAAAATCAATTTGGATTCATGCCGAGTAGGTCTACTATGGAAGCCATACATTTATTGAGATAATTGATAGAGAAACATAGAGAGAATAAGGAGTATATTCATACGATATTTATTGATTTAGAGAAAGCATATGATAAAGTTCCAAGACAAGTGCTATGGAGAGTTCTAAAAAAGAAAGTTTTTAATAATGCTTATTGTTGCGGGCTAGAAATTACGCGGCGATAGAGATTTGATTCTACGTCTTAGCGTTGTACGTATAACTAGCACACACAAAGCTCCCTCGTCGAATAAGAAAAGCGAGCGGAGGCCGGGGCCGAATTTTCGGAGCCCACAAGACCTAAAAAAAGTTGGTTAGAAAATATTAGAAATGACATTTCTTTATTAGATCTAAATGAGAATTTGACTCTTAACAGGAAAGTGGAAAAAAAAAAAAGATTTAAAACTATGTTATAACCGAATACATAGTGTGATAAAGGCATGTTGTTGTTGTCGTATATATTTTTTTAAAATTATGTTATATTATGCACCATGTTTAAAATGACGTGCGCCGTGCCGTGGCTCCACATAAAACTTTGCGACGTGGTGCGTGTGCGTCATTTTCCGTTGACAAGTATGATAGTGAAGTTAGTATTGTTGATCACTTCTTAAGTCAAATGGTGACAGAAATGGCTAAAAGATAAAGAATTCATAGACTTGGTTCAATGTTAATAGTAATACACTAATACCACAATAGACAAGCATCAAAGGTTCTTCTAAGAGATGTGGTCAACACTTCTTATCAAAGTTGTGGGACATCCTGGAGCTAAAAAGAATCTACTCATATCTAGAAAAATAATCAATGGCAAAACTATAATGAGGAAAAGAAGTTTCATTAGTCATCTCTTTTTTACTCGATGGAAGTAGAGATATAGCAAGACCAAAAGTATTTTGCGGACTACTGAGCTCTATGATCCAGTGGAAAGGTTATCACAATTGGTACACACCTCTATTTGCAAGAAGACAAATGTAGGATAATTTTATGAGACTAGTTTAAGGATGAAGCATGATTGCAAGAAACAAAGTTTACCATGCTCTCAAGGTTTGACTCAGGAATAATATGATCCCCATTGCATATGTGAAGAATCATCTAAACTTATGTGTGCTTAGGCATATGATCAGGCAACGCTTGGTTTCTTTAGGAATTGAAGATTATTTGATATTTGTAGAGAGGACAAGACAAATAAAGAAGGACGCTTAAGCTCCTTAAAGGCATTCATATTTTTCACAAGAGGAATAATATTTAAGGATCCAAGGGCGGTTGTGCCACTCACACAATAAGCTCTAACTAGGGGTTTAAATGGGTCGAATCGAGTTAAGCATCTGCCTAATTGAGCTAAGTTCATTTAAGTCTTTCTGAGATCGAGCTCATTATTAAGCTCGAACTCAGGGAGTTCAAAAATTTTTAGGCTCGAGCTCATTTAGAAAGCTCGAGCTTGAATCGATTGTTGAACTCAATTTTTTAGTTTTAAATTAATATTTTTTATTTTTTTTAGAATTTTTACTTTTAATATATAAATAATTTAAAAAGGTAAAGTAATAGAGTGGCCTGATGAGCATACAAGCCAAGCCAAGCCAAGCTAAGTTAAGTATAGACTGAAGTTTAAACTCATGGCTCGATAAGCTTGACTAGTGAGCTCGTTAATGAGTCGAGTTCAAGCCAGTATGGTTCACTTACACCCCCTTACTCCAACTAGAATCCAAGTCCAATACCAATGGAGTTAGTGATAGTATCACTAGCAACGATTTGAGGACTTGTGACCAATGCCAAAAGCCACATTGAGGAAGTGACCAATGCAAAAAGCTATAGAGAAAAATGATTTTCAAGATCCAATTTAGGTTATCCATGCACAAGCCAAGGTACCAAGCTTGGAACTATCCAAGCTCTAACCAAAAGCTTATGCCAGAGACAAAGTCATTGGGAGCATCACCACAAAAAAAAAAAAAAAACTTTAATGATAAATCAACCAACAAGGGGAAGAAGAAAAAGTCAACTGAGTCTAGTGCATACATAGCCCATAGTAGAGACCAAGCAAAATAGAATTTATAGCCAAGGTTTTATGCCTTAACTCAACAAGAAGCTAAGGAATCAACCAATGCCAACATAGGTATAATTCTCATTCAAGGTAGACCTGCTCAAGTGTTTTGATACAACTGCATCACATTCCTTGTTTAGATACTTCATATATACATTTCACATTGTTAGTTATTATGCCCGTGGATCTAATGTTAGTGTGCGTGCAATGTGCCCAAGTTAATATAGTAATTAATAATAAGTTTTAGTAGGAACTTGATAATCTTGTTCTCATTCGAGTTCAACAAAGTCTTAGGTAAGGATGAAGTGTTAGTTGTGAAAGAGTATCCAAACTTCTTTCCATGAGTTGCCTAGTTTGCCTCAAATCAGATAGATTTATTTTATAATTTACTTCTTACTATATTTAACACCATTGGCAAAGGAATTATATTAGATAACAACTAAGAAGTTGCGAAAGCCAACAAGGTAAATATGGGGGTTATTGGAGAAGGGCTTTGTTAGCTATAGTATATCACAATGTGGGCCCCCAATACCTTTTTCAAAGAAATGACGGAAGTATAAGCTTAAAATAAATTTTAGGGGAAATGAATAAGCTCACAAAAAAGAATAAATATCTCTTATCGGGTATAGGAAGTCTATCCAATTAACTCAATGGATCTTAGCTTTCCATAAGATCACTTTAAGATTATGTTATCACCAACTATAGATCACATATGAGGATGTTGCTAAAATGTCGTTTAGTACCAGGTATAGTCACTATTTGTTTGTAGTGATGCTTTTGGATAGACAAATATCTCAGGAACATTTATAAATTTTATGAATAGGATCATTAGTCTATTTCTAGATCTATCCATCATTGTTCTCATCGATGATATCATTGGCCATTTGAGGAGCTAAACTAGCTAGTTATCCACTTGCATGCCGTGTTGAAAACACTCAAAGACAGAGAATTATACATTGAATTCTCCAAATGTGAGTTCCGGTAGAATAGTGTTATCTTTCTAGGAGGTTAGTGTTAATGCTATCTATATAACAAGAAATTTCATGCTATTCTAAAATGTCCAAGACCAAACTGCAAAGTTAAGGAGTTCACTAGGCTTTGTTGGTTACTAAAAGAGATTTTTGAGGGTTTCTCCCAAATTCTGAAGCCATTGTCTAAGATGATGCTTAAGGCAGTAGGGTTTGTATGGAGTGACTAGTGTAAAGAAGCATTTTAGAGGTTAATGACTACTCCGGTATTGGCTAGCCTTGTAGCACTAAAAGATTTCAGATTTTTATGATGCTCACAAAGAGATCTAGGATGTGTTCTAATGCAATACAATAAATTCATTGCTTATGACTCTACACAATTGAATAATCATAAAAATACTTATCTGGCCCATGATCTAGAGCCAGTTGCACCAATTTCTGCATTAAAAAAATGGAGACATTGCATTTATAAAGTTTAATGTGAGATTTTTCCATATCACCAAAGTTTAAAATAAGTTTTCACTCAAAAAGTGCTAAATTTGTGGCAAAGATGGTGTTCCAAACTCATAGAGGACTATGATCTTACATACAATACCATTTGTGGTAAGACTTCTTAGCACAACATATATAAATGTATTCATAAATATATTGATTCATATATATAAATACAAAGATCCAAATATATTTTAATTCAAACTTAATAAATATATAGATTCATATATATAAATACAGATATCCAAATATATTTTAATTCAAACTTAATATAGGCATAAGTATGTTTACATACATTTAAAGATACATGCATATACATTTCAATCCAATCTCAAGCTAGCTCAATCCTATTCAAACTTGGCTCAACCTATGCACGGACTTTGTTTGGCTTCCAAAATTTACCCAGAGGTTAGTCAAGTTAATCCGGTTCACTGGTTCTATCAAAAAACAAAGAAAATTATATCTCGTCCAATAATTAATAGGTGCTTCAAGTTCATGTATTGTGTCAAATAAATATGTTTGGTAGAGCAGGATTTGCAAAAAACAATCAATAAGTCTCATTTTTTAAATCAAGATACATAAACATAGCGATCTCCAAAGAGTTAAAAAAAAAAAAAAGCATACAATATAATGTTGCACATGCTCGTCCTCTTAGGTAGGTTTTAATGTACCAGAATGGCAATGGTTAAAATGAATTTTACCATGAATTATGAAATGAACGTGCTGTAATCTGTTACTTCTTCAAATACAACGGAGTTAAAAATTCAAGGAAGCAACAGAAACATTAATCAATCATAATTACTTCGAACTTTAAAAATACAATGATTATCCAAAAAACTTGGCAAAGGATCCCAAAGCCGAAGTTTTGATTAGAAGCTCAGAACTAGCAAAATCAGATCCAGAAAAATACAAACTTAAACATGAAGTGAATATCAAGCCGTACAAGATCGGATTCGCGTCGAAAGCAGTGACCAATAATAGAATCGGCGAGCACGAAGAAGACAAAGAAGGAAAGGTGAGAGATAATACAGGGCCAACTTACCATCAATACAAGGAGAGCGACCTTAGCTTGGGCAGTCCATTAGTTCTCACTTCACCTTTCCCCCCTTCAACAGTAAATGTAAGCCGGAGGCACGCCGCGATTCAGCCGGGAAGGGAACCAATTACACGGAAAATTGGTGGCGGGTGAAAATTTTGGCAGACCCTAAGGGGCTGTTTGGTATTGGATTGGATTTAATTTATTGTGATTTAGAGGCAAATTATTTGGTGTGGAGATTTTTTGTGGTTTTTGTAAGTAAAATTTTTTAGAAATTTAAAAGGTGTAATTTGTTGTATTTTTGTTGTATTTTTACTGTGTTTATACTGTAATTTTGCTGCGATTTTATTTTTGTTGTATTTTTAATGTCTTTTTGTTGTGCTTTCACTGTGTTTTTATTTTTGATGCCCTTAGACGAAAAATAAAATGACCAAAAATAAAATAAAATTCAATTAAATCGTGTACAAATTTAATTGGAGTCTAGACATAGAACTACGTCTGGACTCCGCACCAAATAATTTGTCAATTTAGTCAATTCTGAAGTGTTAATTTTTTAAAATTGTTTGATATGATAAATATTAAATCTTTAAAAATTGTTTGACAACAAATCTCAAAATTTGAGATTGTTAGAGGTTTAAATTAGTTTTAATTATTAATTATTTCATTAATCACTTAAATATTTTAGCACTAATTATTTTATAATATTAAATAGATAATAATTATTTGTATTTTAAAATATATTAATTAAATAATTGCTTTTTGGCTGCTTCAGTCACGTGTTGTGTGTGCTTAGAACGATGGGAACTAATTTGGATGGAGCAATGGAGAAGAACGAGAGGTAGTTTTGAAAGATTCGCTTAATAACTTCTTCCTTCGACATCATTCCTTCATATCGGATCTGAAAAACACACCTCCTCGCTATTCTTTGTTGGATCAGAAGTAACGACAAAAATGGAAACTTGCTCTTGCTCATTGCCAAGGTAGCCATCTTTCTTTCTTTCACGCGCTTCTTCGTCTAAATCTTGTTAAATCCGCTAAACAACGGGATTTAGATTCAGACAGATTTACGACATAAATTCGTAAATCCATAAAATTTTGTCGCATCATTCTTGTAGTATAACATACATCCATTTATACAACAATCAATTTTTGTAACAGTGGGACCAAACTTGGATACTAATTTCTTTGTTCGGTATAAATCTATGGGGATTAAATTGTACGTTAGATTTGTTTTCTTGAGAAGAACAGTAAAGTCATTGTAACAATCACGAGGAATATTATATTCATTTTTGATACTTAGCATCATAGTAATTTATAATTTTGAATGAGTTTTGCAATCATCCCAAATTAGTTTTTGAGCTGCATGTAGTAACTCAAAGAATTTTTTGATTTTCTATGCTTGTTGTTATTCCACAATAACCCTTAAATTAGGACATGTTATATCAAAAATAAGTTTTTCATATGGTCTACTCATTTGATCTTCAACAACTGGTTCAAAAGTTGTGGATGAACTAACATTAGTATCTTTGTGTGGCTCGTACTCACCATGTGAGGTCCAAATCCAGTAGTCTGGATTAAATCCCCTACAATATAAATCAACTTTTACATCATCGGGCTTGAGGAATGCTTGATTTTTATGCTTTGAACATGGACATCTAAACATTCAATCGAACTTAAATGAAGGTAGTTGAGAAGCAGCTTAAATAAAAGCCTCAACTCCATGCATAAATTCATTTGTTAATCATCTTCGACCCATTAATAATATGTTATACATCCAATATCTCTCATATTGGATAGTCATTTAGATGTTAAAGCAAATGTTCCATACATACGGTGAAATCAATTATTAGAAAATATGCAACCTTAAATCTCATTTAAATCTAAGAAAGAAATATCATTTACTCTCCTAACCGGGTTATCGGAAGGCAACCATATTATGTGTTTGTTTTAACTTAATATTATACTTCTCTTTTAATGGCCAACATTTTGTGCCATAAAGCATTACAGGTGTAAAGGCTGTTTTCCTTCCAGGATCGTCCAGGACGAAGTGGATCGTCCCGGGACGATCGGTACAGGTTGTGAAGAAATATGTATGGTTCGTCTGGACGAACCTGTAAGGGTCGGGACGAACTAAATAGAGAGTTTCGTCCACGGACGAAGAAACTGGAATTAATTTTCATCTGGATGAAATGGTCCAGTGGGCACATCATCCCGGGACGATGTGCGATCGTCCAGGACGATCGAGTGGATATTTATGGACTTGAGCTCGTTTTTTAAGAGAGAGAAATTCTAGGAGAGAGAAAATCATGGAAAGAAGAAGAAAAGAGGATTTTTGGGCGACTCCGGTCCGTTTTCGTCCGTTGATGTAGTTGGGAATGTTGATCGACTCGAGGTAAGGCACATTCCGCCTTTAATTTCTTAATTTTTAGAAACGTGGATTTTGACGACTTTTTTGTTCCTGATTTTGTTTCCGTTAACAAATTTCTGGTATTATTTTCTTCTGACAAAGATTTTACCACGTAACTTTTGGTATGTTTTTGAGATGATAATTATGCACGTTTTGGATATTTTATGGAAGATTTTTACCCGATATTTTGAATTCTGCGGCGTTTCAATTAAATTGCAATCTATCTGGATGTTTGATATTATTACTTCAGTACAGTAAAAGTCTTATAATATTGTTGTGGATATTCTGTGGTAATTTGGTAAATTTCTAAATCTATGAATTTTGTGTAAATTCCGTATATTGTCGTTATGCCGCCAATTTTTCGTACGAATTCTGATTTTTCTGAATTGATACATTGAATGAATTGAAGTGTTTGTATGCTATCAGAAGCGAGTTATAAGGGGCCAGGATCATTTGAGATTCTGTCTGTGTCAGGAAAATCTAAAATGAGCTCTGAAATCTGAAAACAAGTTCTGTTCCGGAATTCTAAATATATGTTCTGCTCTGTTCTGATGCTATAAGCACAAAGGGAGGCATAAGGGGTCAGAATCCGTTGAGATTCTATCAATGTCTGGGAAGGGAGGCATAAGGGGCCAGAATCCATTGAGATTATGTCAGGGTTAGGGAATCTGATATGAATTATCTGATATGAATGTGATTTTATCTGATTTCTAATTTCTATACGATTCTGGTTATTCCGTACAATTCTGTCTGTTCTATGATTTCAGTACGGCTATTTTCTGATGTATTTTCTGATGTGAATTTTTGATGATTTTGATTGGTGAGTGATGTCTTGCTGAGCTGTTAGCTCATCCTTGTTTTCTGCGTGATTTTCAGGTTCTAGAAAATGGAAGGAGGTCTTGGACTAGAAGTTCTGTGTTTGATCTGAGATTAAGTATTTTGTACTTTTAATTTTTGGTACAGTCATGACTTTTCTGTTCTATTCTGTTATTTCTGTCTTAAGCCATGGATTATATTGTATATGATTGTTTTGATGAAAGAAAAGATAGATAAATTGTTATGTATTTGAATGTTTATGGTAGCTCTGTGTTTTTCTGTCTATTTAATATTTGGAAGAAAGTTCTGAAGCAAATTCCAAAGATAGATCCTGGATTTTCAACAGTTCCATCGCGACCCGATGCAAGCGGGATCCGTCCCGGTCGGGTTGGGTCGTGACAACAGGTCTCACCACCATCTTATTGAATTTTACCTTAAGTTTAAGGACTTTTTCTATCACACAACAAGCCTGATGCATTCCTCCAATTCAACTATACAACTTGAGTTCTACTAATAATATACACATGTATTTCACCATCACTCTGAACAGCATTGTTGACCTCATTTTTGTATGAGGTCTCAAAGTACTACCCTACACTCCTGATTCTACATCTAGTGGTTGATAGCCTTCTACCTGTCAATCACTTTAACAAATCTAAATCAATCATCCAATCTAAAAAAAAAATCAAACCCATTAATCAATCAATCATTCAGTCTCACCTATATCTACTTAATCAAGTCAAATCTTAATCAACCAATCTCATACTCAATCATTCAAACTTTGTCAACACTTCTCTTAGTGAAGGGGACTTGACCAGTCATCTTAATCCAGACACCAGTTGACTCTCAACTAAATCCAGTTTCAGTCAAACCATATCTCATAGAGACTCTTTTTCTTATACTTTAAATCCACATTCTTAAACTTCTCATACTCCATCAAATCTATACCTAAACATCACCATCACTCTATCCTATCAACTTTGCTTAAGGTTGAATGATCAAACCAATCAACTGAAGCTTTCAAAACCCTTCTTAAGTCTCAGATCAACCCAATCATATACCCTACAAGCCTCTTTGGTTACTACCCAAGTCAAGTTGACTTGGTCAACTCAAGCAAACATGGTCAATCTTCACCTTACATAGGCTCATCACTCATATAATACATCTAGTCATCTAAACACTTTGCAAATCACTCAACCAGCATGCCATGGACTTCTCACAATCCACTTCATCAACCATTGACTGAGTTGACTGGTCAAACTAGTCAATTCAATCCCTAAAGAACCATTCCTATGGTCAAACTAATCTATTCACCAAACCTAACCCAACCCAGGTCCATCCAACCATTGAATCACACTCTAAGCTCAGTCTTGATGCCAACTCAGCAACCCTTGACTCCTTTGACCGGTCAAATGGTCAAGGAGAGCTCAAGTGAGCTTACTCGGTCAAACTCGGCCAACTTAGATTTCCAGCCTGAACCAGGCCTTTCCAGCCCCTGGACTCGACTCCAGAAGCTTCCAGGAGACTAACCCAACCCAACACAGCCTTTGGTTTGACCCCTAGCTCAACCCAACGACTCAAAAACACTCTCCTTGATCAACAATCTCAAATCAAGTGCTCCCTCCAAGATATGATCAATCCAGCCGTTAAAACCGATCCTAGAATGTTCTTAGAGCTTACCTAGACTCATCCCAACCGTTTCTTTGTCCCCAGGCCAGCCAAGACGAGCTCGTGGTCCCCCCCTTGCACATGGGAAGACGTCCGTCCTTCCCACCTGAGCAGCACGCTCCCTGTTCTTCTAACCGTTTGAGACACTTTTAAAACATCCCAGCTTCTTCCCTGATTGATCCCAGCCGTCCAAGCAAACTCCCGTAGCTGGAATAGGGTAGAGAGGCGGGAAGTGCTCATTCCAAGCAATCTCACATCCCGGTAATTCCCAGAGCTCTCTAGCATTTTCGTTTCGATTTCTATGAGTTCTACCTTCATCCC